TATCAGACTCAAGAAATCTAGCAATCCTCCTTTACAGAGTACTTTGTTATAAATACACTTTGCAAGAAAAAAGATAATTTTTCTTTATTTTAGTACCACCAATTTCCTCCCATTTAGATGCAGAGTTCTATTTTATTCAGCAACAAATAACTTTTATTTATGTATTTATTTATTTATTTATTTATTTATTTTAAATCCTTACCCTAGGATATTTTTCAATTGATTTTCAAATACAGTGGGAACAGAGAAGGGAGGGAGGGAGGAAGGAAGAAAGGAAGAGAGAGTAAAAGAGACACATGGATTGTTTGACTACCGCACAACCCAGTCAGGGTGGGGGATTGAACTTAAAATCGAGATACATGCCCTTGACTGGGAATCGAACCCACAACTCTTTGCTCCGCGGGCCAACACTCTAACTTCTGAGCCAAACAAGCCAGGGCACAACTTTTATTTTTAATTTGGTGATCTGTTAATATTACTCAAACTAGTATATTTTAATAAACGCAAATTATGGGCATTTAGCCCTGCTGATGTGGCTCAGTGATTGAGCGTTGACCCATGCACCAAGAGGTCGCCAATTTGATTCCTGGTCAGGGCACATGTCTAGGTTGTAAGCCCAATCCCCAGCAGGGGGGGCAAGCCAATCGATGTTCTCTCTCTTGATGTTTCTCTCTCTCTTTCCCTTTCTCTCTAAAATCAATAAAGAAAAAAATATTTTAAAAATTATGGGCACTTAGAGCAATAGCTTTATGAGAAAACTCATAACCAGCTAGCTTTAAAATATACTTTATTTTGTAAAAAAATTAGAAGCACCGAAAAGAAAGTATTTTTAGATATTACTAAAGTGCTGCTTGGTCATGTTAAACATAGTAGAGCACAATCAGCAATCCCAGAAAACAGAATCTACTTACTCCCCCTGCCCCCCCAAGTTAGCTCTCTAGAAAATGGGACCTCTTGCCCTGGCCAGTTTGGCTCAGCGGTCAGAGTGTCGGCCTGCGGTCCGGAGAGACCCGGGTTCGGTTCCCACTAAGGGCACGTACTTCGGTTGCAGTTTGCCCCCGGCCCTGGTTGGTCGTGCGGGTGCAGCCACTCTATGTGTCCCTTCACGTCGATGTTTCTCTCTCTCTCTCTCCCTTCTTCTCTCTCCCTCCCACTCTATCTGTACAAAAAATGGAAAATATCCTCGGGTGAGGATAAAAAAAAAAAAAAAGAAAATGGGACCTCTTTTAACTTAAACTGCCATTTCGTAGCTATTACACACATTAGGCTTCATAGTAACGTGAAATCTCAATTAAAGAGTAAAAACCCACAACAAAATGGTATGGAAAGTAAAAATTAACAACTGTGTCCATTGACCATATTCTTTGTTTTCTTTTTAATTTTTTTCTTTATTAATTTTTAGAGAGGAAGGGAGAAGGAGAGAGAGATGGAAACATCAATGAGAGAGACATCAATTGGCCTCCTCCTACAATGTTCCCCATTGGGGATTTGGCCCACAACCTGGGCATGTGCCCTGACCGGGAATCGAACCGGCAACTTCTTGGTGCATGGGTCTACGCTCAACCACTGAGCCACACTGGCCAGGCTTGGTGTTTATATTCCTAAGCAAGAGCATGCAAATTTAACCTGAACTTATCCAAAAAATGAAATCTCAATGAAAATTAAACTTTAAGAACAACATCAAGAAATTTATTTTAGTGCCTATAGGACATCAAAAAAAGAATACTACTACTACTCAAAAAATATATATATAGTTACTCAAAACTAAGGCAATTTGTTTCATTAAAGCAAATATAACCAGGCACCTATATCTTGGTAATAATTTCTCAAGAACTGAATCAAATACATAACTTCTACAACTATTAAAGGAAGATGCTGGGGCTAGCCCCCCACTCCCCTTACACTAAATATGGCAAATAAGCTGCCATTAAAAAGAAATCATCATAATTATCCATAGCTGCATTTTTCATAGTAGCTTAAGAGTAGAAACAACCCAAATGTCCACCATTGACAAAAGATAAACAAAATGTACTACACATCCACAGAGTAGAATGTTATCAGCAATAAAAACAGTTCTGATACATGTCATGAACATGGATGAACCCTGATGTTGTGCTAAGTGAATGAAGCCAGTCTCATGTCCAGAATGAGAAAATCTGGAGTAATGATTGCCTAGAGCTGGGAGAAAGGGGTAACAGGGGTAACGCAGGTGACAGCTCAGGGAGGAGGAATTTCTTTAGAGGTGATGAAAATGTTCTAAAATCGTGAAGGGTGTACAACTCCCTGAATAAACATAAAAACACTTAACTGTATACTTTTCAAAGTGTTAATTATATAATGTGAATTTCATCTCAATAAAGCTATTTAAAAAATTCACTTCAAAACTATATATATATATTTTAAATTTCTTCAAGTCTGTAATATCTTGCATTATATAGTACAATACCAAATCAGGAAACTGAAATTGGTATAATCTCCACAGAGCTTTCAGATTATACCTGTTTAACACTCATGTGTTCATATGGGTGTGCAGTTTTGTGAAGTTTTATCACATGTATAGATTTATATAACCATCACAATTAAAGCACACAATTGTTTTAATTACACAAGACTCACTCCTGCTATTTATTTATGGTCACATTCAACCCCTTCCCAGACCCCATTCCAAACCTTTGGCAACTATTAACCTGTTCTCCGTCTCTATAATGTGGTTATTTGAAGAAAGTTATATAAAAGGAATCATACGCAGTGGCTGACGTGGCTCAGCGGTTAGAGCGTCGGCCCACGGACCATAGAGTCCGGGTTCAGTTTCCACTAAGGGCACATACCTGGGTTGCAGTTTGTCCCCGGCCCCACTTGGGGTCATGTGGGTGGCAACTAGTCGATGTGTCTCTCTCACATTGATGTTTCTCTCTCTTCCTCACTCTCTCCTTCCTGCTCTATCTGAAGATAAATGCAAAAATGCCCTGGGGGGGGGGGGAGGGAAGGAAGGAAGGAAGGAAGGGAGGGAGGGAGGGAGGGAGAGAGGGAGGGAGGGAAGGAATCATACAATGTGAAACCTTTTAGAACTGGCATTTTTCAATTGGGATAAATTTTTTGGAGATTATGCAAGTTATATGTATCAATGGTTCGCTCCTTTCTGTTACTGAGTAGTTAGTATTCCACAGGATGGCTGCACCACAGCTGAACCTTTCACCTGTTCAAGAACATGTGGATTGTTTCCAGTCTGGGGTATGACAAATGCAGCTGCCATAAAAATTTGTACATGACTTTTTGGGGAAATAAGTTTTCATTAATCGGGGATATATGGCCAAGAGTTTAACTGCTGGGTTGTATAGTTAAATACCAAATTTAATATCAACATTGGTAATGTTCCTGCAAAAAAAAAAAAACAAGATCACTTTCAATCTCCACTCTCCATTGAATTTGTTTAATTTAACAAAATTACTTTTTAAAGATGGCTTTTACTCAACAATTCTGCTAAAGAACCAAGTACCACACTGGGCATTTTAAATACATTATCCTACATAATCCTTGCATCAAGAGTGAGGGCGGTATTGATATTACCTCCATCTCACAACTGAAAGAGCCGAGCTACAGACAAGGTTTGGGAAGTAATCCAGAGTCACACAGCCAGGGTATGGAGAGCTGGGACTTACACCCAAGCCTGCCTCACTCAGAAGTCTCTGCCTTTCATCACAAAACACTGCCCCTCCCACTTCTGTGATTAGACACAAAAAAAGCATTTATCCATATAAGAAAGTCTTCATTTAGGGGATCAAGTTTACATGTGACAATTATGTTTTATAATAAGATTTAAAAAAATTGGACATGATCTCTAATATGTTGCACAAATAATCAAAATATAATAATATACTGGTATTTGCACAAATATTATATATTGCAAAAGTAACATGAGTTACAGGAAGAAAGTTCACATAAAGTAATGTCAGTTTTTCTCTATGAAGTTTCTTTTGGGTTTACACTTCATTAGCCTTGTGGTGAATAGGAAACCTGGGGCAGATGAAAAGGAAGGGAAAGGAAGAAAAGGAGTTTAATGATGGATGGATTAAAAAACCCCAGCACACCAAGCAAGTGGAAGAGCAGGTGTCAGAGGTGAACAGCATCTCCTGGATCCTCTCTTCCAGGCCTTCCAATAAGTGAGGAGGGCCTCTTTCCCGAGGTTCCAGCACCTGGACCCAGGCAAAGGGACCATATATATGCTCACATCTTCACGCCTGCCTACTGCCCAAAGAAACAAATCACAACAGGATTGCTCACAGCCACTCACAAACACTGCCATCAGAAATGTCATCATCACAAACACCATCATCAGAAATGTCATAATAAACTTATTAATTTGACAGCTCCTAACATCTGCTTTTTTGTCAGAAATATTTTTATCAATGTTTCCTTAAATATATTCACACTTGATTATCAATGTTTGTAACAATTACAGGTGTAAATACTCGTCTCTTTTCGAAAAGAGAAATTAAATGAATATTCGTATGCAGCTTGGATACTATATAATGTTTAATTCTAAATTCTATATAATGTTTAATTTTAAATTGACTTTTTGAGAGCACTAAATTTTTTTTTAAATCTCTATGAGTATACTTTGTGCCTCATTATTAGTAATGTAAACTCCCAACTTTTCAGATATAAAAACTAATACAATAAGAAACCATAATGAGACTGCCAAAATTTCTTCAAAATGATAATAATCAACTTATGAGACTAACATAGAATAAACAATTTGTAGCACTATATAGTTTACACAGAAACCTACTAAGTCAACTTCTAGGAACGTAACCTACGGAATTAATTGCAGGTGTATATACTAAGTCGCATCTATAACATAAATCATGATTTAGAATAAATCAGAATTCTATACACTTCTTGATAATGCTATAAAACAGTAAATGGCACATAGGCCTTCATACTATAAACCAGTCAGAACTCAGTTACATAGCAATGTGTATGATACACATAAAACCTACTTGAAGTTGAAGGGAATTATGCCGAAGACCTTCCACAATAGAAGAAAATCTGTCGATTCTCTGTTCTTCTCCAGCTGACGTTAAAGCTTCTAAAACTTCTTCAAGGCTATTGGAAATTTAGGATTTACTAATTAAATTGCAAACAGTGAATAACCCAAATGGCACAATTCAATTACTTGAATTAATAAACTCTGAAGTCACTACTTCAGGGCAACCAATAACATTTTAAAAGTAGCTTGCTCAGTATGTATCAGCAGTTCACACAGCATGCATCAAGCACTGCTCTGAGCATGTTACACAATTTGATCCATTTATTCCTCATAACCCTGTGGTGATGTTTATTTATCAAGCATTTATACAGTGCTTACTACACATCAGGCACTATTTGAACCAGTTTACAAAGAGTAAACTCATTTTAATGTATATAATTCTATGAGGTAGGTATTATTGTTATCCCATATTACAGATTAGGCAACTGAGGCAGAAAAGGTTAAGCAATTTGTCTCACATCTACTAATGGCAGAGCAAGGATCTAAAACCAGAGAGTCTGTGTAGTAAGCACCACATAAATGCTTTTAACCACTACACTCTACTGCCTTTCCAATATAAGTATGTAAAGGTCTGGTAGCCAAAAATATGTAGTAAGAAATTATAATCAAATATTAAAAATAATAGGTATGCAAGAGCTATGCTTGCTCCTATTTTAAAAAATAGCTGTGGGCCCGGCCAGTTTGGCTCAGTGGTTGAGCATTGACCCATGCACCAGTTCAATTCCTGGTCAGGGCACATGCCCAGGTTGTGGGCCCGGTCCCCAGTGAGGGGCATACAGGAGGCAGCCAATCAATGTTTTCTCTCATAGATGTTTCTATTCCTCTCTCCCTCCCCTTCCTATCTCTCTCTAAAATCAATAAATGAAAATAAATAAATAAATAAAATAAAAAATTGCTGTGTCAACAGAAAGACCACGAATGCTATAAAAGCTCACAGTTTCATAGTTTGTAAACATAGACATGTAGTCCTAAGAGTTATTTACATCATCTTGAGTCCTATTCTGAAATTTAAATAAAATAAAAATAATATGGAACTAAGGAAAGAGGAAGGAAGGAGAATAAGAGGAAAAAGGACAAAAAAAGAAAAGGAGAAAAAAGAGGGGAAGAGAAGAGGAAAGGAAACAGAAAAGAGGAGAGGGAAGAAAAAGAAAAAGAGAAAGACAGAGGAAGAAGGGAAGCAAAGGAAGGAGGAAGATGCAGGAGGAGAGGGGAGAGAAAGGAAGGGAGACGGAACACAGGAAGTATCTTCCAGATCAACATCAAGTTCACTCTGGAAGGAAACCTGACTTGGCGATGAACACACACAATGTACAGATGATGTATTATAGATTTGTTACTTTATTAATCAATGGCATCCCAATAAATTTAAAACAATAACACCAACTTGACGTTCCCTCTTAGGTTTCTACACTAAACATGGCCTTTTTGAAATGGAAAACGGACAGTGCCGAGGCTGTGGTCTGTCTGTGTGCTGGGGCGGCAGCAGGACAGCTCAAGCACAGGCACCCTCTCCAGTTGCCTGTGGGGCAGTGGGGCAGGGCTGAGTGCTGCCTGATGACTCCCCAACTAGGGCCAAACGGAGTGTTTCCACCGTCACCAGGCACAGCACGGTCACCACAGGACACTTTCAAACGTGCGCAGGTTCCGCTTGCAGGGCCTGCCTATCTGAGAGGGCGATTTCTGTTTGTTCTTTTGGTTGTTTGGTTTTTAGATCTTTATTCTTTAAAAAAAAAAAAACTTTTTAAATGCTTCCTTATAAGAACCCCCAATCTTCTTTTTAAAAAAAGTTCATCTTTATAATTACCTTTTTTTAATATGTATGTAGGGATCTTTTAGTTAGGGACCTAACGTGTGAATAATGTATTTAAAAGCTTCAGTATACATTTTATGCTCAAGAACTGTTTCCGCAACCAATAAAATACAATTCCATATGTCACTTTCTAAATCTGCCTTACATACAGATTTTCAAATACTATGATATTTGCTTTTACAAGGGAATATACATGACCTACACTTTGAATTGATTCTATCTGAAAAAAAAAATCACATACGAAGCAGAACTCATTAGTATATTTTTCAAAGTCTTCATTTAGAATTTTTATTTAGGCCCTGAGTTCAGAACAGTTTAAAAAAATATGATGAAAATGTCAGTTTTTCACAGCCTGTATGAATCTAAATCAGTTGCTTAAGTATACTTCATTTACTTAAATTCTAGTCTAAAACAGAATGGATAATAAAAATATTAAATAAATCACCTTGTATGAAATCACTATATAATAAGAGATAAGCCGAGAAGACTCACATGCTCTCCTCCCCCACAATGCACACCGCGGACAGGAGCTTGACCACGTCTGTCATCATGCTGGGGTGCTCGGGGTCCATGGCTCTGGCCAGCAGAGAGAGACTCCGCTCGTCACTCATGATTCTTTCCAAGCCGTACTACAACAGCACGGAAATAAGATGTTGAATGTAAACAGCTAGTTTCAAAATTAGTGTCCTGAAGAAAATGTAGTTATTAAAAAAAGTTTATATTTTTACACTTAGTAAAGAATGTATACATTAAATAATGTATAACATCCTAAAAAAAATCATAGAAATATACATTTAACATCAAGAACTATGGGAATCAACCAAATACAAATAACCACTCAAAGGTGATTTTACAACAATACTGACTGATAAATATTAACACAGATAAATGGCCAACTGGAAAAAGACAAAAGCAGTGTAAAATATTGAGATTTCCCAACAGAAACATACAAAATGAAGAGTCAAATACTGAAGTGGACATAAGCCCTACGGATCCTTCCTGAGAAGGAAGGCTGGTGAGAGACACAGCACCACAAGTCTGTGCTCACTGTCCCAGAGGCAGGGACTGTGAACTACATGTGCAACGTGAAATTTACAAGCAAAAAGTAAAACTGGTCTTAACAGAACTATGTTAATATATTGAAAATATCATTTCAACATATGATCAAAATAACATTCACTGATGAGACATTTTACTTTTTTTCCTCCCTAAGTAATCAAAGTCTAGTATGTATTTTACACGTACAGCACACCTCAGCTCAGACTATCCCCATTGCACACCTCAGCTCAGACTAGCCCCAGTTCACACCTCAGCTCAGACTAGCCCCATTCTACAACTCAGTTCAGACTAGCCCCATTCTACAACTCAGTTCAGACTAGCCCCATTGCACACCTCAGCTCAGACTAGCCCCATTGCACACCTCAGCTCAGACTAGCCCCATTGCACACCTCAGCTCAGACTAGCCCCATTGCACACCTCAGGTCAGACTAGCCCCATTCTACGCCTCAGCTCATACTAGCCCCACTGCGCATCTCAGCTCACACCAGCCCCATTGCACACCTCACCTCAGACTAGCCCCATTTCAAGTGCTTAATAGCCATATACATATAGCAATCAAATTATATAGTATAGGCCCAGAGAGTAGCCCCTAGTTCATACATGGGCAGGAGCTAAAGATAACTTGGGCACATATCATATAGAAACTGCCATAAGGAGTAAATGTATTCTGATCAAAATGATATTTTATTATCACAAAGACAGTGTAGTTGTAAACCATTATAAAAAAAAAATGGGATGTTATGGGATAAGTACAAAATTGGATTGCTACTTCTAAGATGTCACACCCAATTAGTAGATAAGAAGTTATGTTAATGACTTAGCATTTTGATTTAAGAATGTATACATCTCATAAGGCCCCTTAACAAGCTATAGAAGTAGCAAATAACAATGAAGAGATTCAATAAAACACTATTTATCTACCATGCATCCCAGAGAATCCTCTACACTTCAGAGTCTAAAGAGTGAGAAATTGGTTGATTACAGTCACTTTTAGGTATTAAAAAGGGCCTTATCCCAATTATAAACTATGGCTTGCATTCAAACTTAGCACACTATGTAGATATATAAGTATCAAAGTTGAATCTGTAACAAGCTCACACCCAAATGTTTTGTGTTATGAAATTTTAGTTACAGCTTCCCCACTGTAAACGTCATTTAGATATAAAAGTCATCTATAAACTGTGCTGAGTGCTGCATTTGTTTCAGACTAAGATCTGGAGAACATGGGTACAAATGAGGAAGGACAAACAGAAGGATCAAAAAGCACCAGGATATGATTTTCAGAAAAACGTCTGTCTTGTTGATGATAGGGAGAAGTTTACAAAGACAACTAAACTGGCAAAAAGATGCTCATGTTTGTGATGTCCTGGGTTGTTTCATATCTGCCAACAAAGAATAACAAAACAGGCATGGGCCCGGCCGGTGTGGCTCAATGGTTGAGCATCGACCCATGCACCAAGAGGTTGCTGGTTCGATTCCTAATCAGGGCACATGCCCAGATTGTGGGCCTCTTCCTCAGAGGGGGGCCTGCAGAAGGCAGCCAATCCATGCTCTCTCATTGATTTCTCTCTCTCTCTCCCACTCCCTCCCTCCCTCTCCCTTCCTGTCTCTCTAAAATCAATAAAGAAAACATGTTTTAAAAAGCAGGCATAGGGCCAGAGACTACAATATGCCTTGACAGTCATTCCAGATAACTGTCAGAGGCTGATACAGTATCACTTAGATCCAATTAAAAAGTCAGTCAGTCCAGGATTACCAAGTAGCAAAGGATGGCTCTGCTCTAAGGAACCGAGGACTGAGAAGAGCTTGCCTCCAGCATTTCCCCCTCAGTCCCCCTCCCCGTAGTCAGTGCCTGCCCTTCTTGAAAGAGATTCCTATGGCTCCTGCAGCCACTCAAGGAATTTTCATCCTGCTTTCCTCCAAGTTACACCACCTACTTTCTCTGTCAAGCCCCAAACCATCACGTATGAAGGGTAGAATAGGAGGGTTCTCTGATCTCAGGGTTGTGACTATCATCCTGTGACTCCCCAAAGCTCCATCAAGGGCAGTGTTCTCTGATTTTGCTAATGTAAAAATGTGTAGTTATCATTTTAAGTTTGGAATGAAGACAGACTGTCACTAATCAGTATCTAGAACTAAAGCCAGAATCGCTGCCTACCTCTGGAAACTTACTCTCACTCAATTATTTAAGACACAAAGCAAAACAAAACAAAAACATGTTCCCTCTATGAGAGAGTCAACTTACCAGTGCTGGCATGTAAAGTGCATTAAATGAAGGCCTTTATAAGGCTAGAGGGGTGGTTGTAACAAATGCTTGAAGATCTAAGGATGTCTCCACTGAATATCAAAGACACACTCTGGATTATATGAAAACACATGTGTTCTAAACTGAGGGCCAATTGCCAGATTCCATCTGCATTCTACATGAGGCCCATTATTACCTAACAGATGGGATTTCAAGCCAATGAAGTAGTGTTAGGGGAAGGTTAGTACCTCTTGTACAGGATGCCCAACACCACAGGCATGCTGGTGACGAATGACTGACTCCCCAACCCCCACCCATACACCAGTGAGCTAATCCCAGTGGCAGAGTCATCGGGGAGAGGGGGCGGGCTTCAGACGCAAAGCACCCTTGCTGGGGGTGTACAACTCAAAGCCACAAACAAAAATTTTACTGACCGAAAGAAAGCCTCTCTTCTAATTACCGTTTAATTTAAATAAATTAACTTTTCATCCTGACTTTTATTTTCTAATATTCACAATCTTTTTCTATTTAAAAATATTAGTCTGCCCAATTTAGTGTTGTAAGAAATTCACTTTTATATATTATCAAATTTGCTCATTACTTATATAAATATTTACTAGCACAAAGTAAGGTACCATACTTTTTTCTCCTAAAGCACACTGTTCATTATTCAGGGACCCCTTATAAAGACTGCACAGAGAGACATAGGAAAATTCATCAACAGATCTTGAGAAAAAATTAAAACCTTTACCAAAAATTGTAGACAGTGTATAATACTAATTCCAAGTGTCAGTAACTTAATATTTCATGCTTATTAGCCCAGGTGATATCAATAAATACAAATAGCAATATATTCCAGCTCCACATATACAAACTGGAAGCAACACAATGTTATTATAAGGAGTTACATTATATTAATTAGAATATAAATGCAAAGTTTACTCTCTCTCCAATTCATTGTCACACCAAGGAGGAATATCACCTTTTTTTTATCCTCACCCGAGGACATTTTTCCAATTTTTGAACAGATAGAGTGGGAGGGAGAGAGAAGGAGAGAGAGAGAGAAACATCGATGTGAAGGGACACATCGAGTGGCTGCCACCCGCACGACCAACCAGGGCCGGGGACAAACTGCAACCGAGGTACGTGCGGGAACCGAACCCGGGTCTCTCCGGACCACAGGCTGATGCTCCAACCGCTGAGCCAAACCGGTCAGGGCAGGAATATCACCTTTAATATGTCATTTCACTTTAGCCATGAGATTCTTCTGAAATTCAAATTATGATCCACCTACCCCTCTAGTTAGAAAAACTGTTTCTGGGTTTTCTCTACTCTCAGACTTCCCAGCGCTGGTGAAATCTTCAATTGCTATATTGTCATTTAAAAAGGAGCCTCTAAAGCAGCACCACGTACTCACAGAGCAAAAAGCCCTCTCCCTCTCAGCAGTGTCTGATTCCTTATTCGTTTATCCTTAGAACATATTCTACAGAATGTCTAAAACCTACTTCTCCCAGAACAACAGGACTTGTGATTTCTGCATCAGATATTTTCCTTAAAAATCTTATTAGAAGGAAAAAGAGAGGAGAAAAATATTTCATTGGTTAAAAATAGAAAACTTAGCTCTACAAAATGCTGAAACATACATAAATAATTCAGTAAGATAAAAATAATTACAAAAAATAAATATTTTCTACACTGAGTAAAAATATGTAAGATAAATGTTAATAATTTAAATACCAGTACTTAAGTGTATAGTCCTCTAAAAATGAGAATACGGCAAAATATTAAAAATAAAACTAGTCAGAAAAACAGAGTTTTGCTGTAAAACACAAATTGTCGCCCAACCATTAAGTACAAGCTCCTCTCCTGCTGTCAGAGAGCAACTAAAACCCCTGTCACTGCTCGCACATCTGAGGTAGATGTGTTTAGACATTGGAGCTAAAGACATGGCACAGCATAGAGAAATTTCTCCAACTGACAGTATAAAAGACATACTGTTCAGAAAGTCTAACATCAGTAGAGAACTTCAAGTGTTTCTCTTGTCTAATGTGTCCTCTTTAACTATGCAAACTTTACAGACCGGTCACACTGCATTTGGGGTCAATAGTATTTGTATTAAGTATCCCTGCTCCATTTCTGGGACCTGATACATGTTTTTATTCCTTGCATTACAGAGTTAAATTTATAAACTATAAAAATTAAGTCTTTCCAACTTGATTCTTTGGTGATAAATATTACTGCAGACCATGTATGATTTCAAAGCTGATTCATGCTATAGTTTTGAAAATTAAAATGGAGCGGGGGGAGACTAGGAAAAGAGAAAGAGGGAAAAAGAAAGATGGAGGGAGGAAGGAAAGAAGGGAGAGAATTAATTACACATGAGGAGTTAAGCACCAGAAGAAGGTCTATTTATCCCCAAGTTGTGCTGGGAGATAGTTGTTTCTATACAAAACTAGAAGTCATACAATTCAGCACTTTTTCCTTTATGTACTAAACAGCATATTAAAGCAACACATCACTTCAGTATAAATTCTTTATTACATAACTCTAATTCTTAAGAATTCTAGAAGAATTAGTGAAGAAGAATACAATGAATTAACCATGTACATACCTGTGTATTCATCAAAGCCTTTAGACACTGTATGACTTTATGCTGATTCTTCTTTACAATGTTTTCTTGTCTGTATTGGCATAAAAGATATCAGTGTTAGAACTGTTTGGACATGCAAATGTAGCTTAAGTGAAAATAATTAGCTATACTTACATTTTGCTACTAATCAGTTTTTCCAAAATGTCCAGTAATAATCCAAGTCCCTCATGTCCAAAGCTTTCCACCCAACTGAAAAACAGGGAAAAGGTAGTTATACATTAAGTCAGCACTCTAAGTTTGAAATATTAGAATAATATTATCACAAGTATTTTACAGTTGTTATATTCTAATCATAAACACAATATAAAAATAGCACCTTGTACATATCATTCATGACTCATAGTCTTATTTCTGATAGAAAAAGCAAAAATGGGGTAAGCTAGGGGTGTGCATTCTTATAAATGTTAAGAATTTCCTAAGTTTCAAAATTCAATTGCTTTAAAAAAAAAAAAAAAAAAAATTTGTTATTTCTAAATTATTTTTTCTTTTATTGATTTCAGAGAGAAAGGAAGTGAGAGGGGGAGAGCGATAGAAACATTGATGAGAGAGAACATCGACTGGCCACCTCCTGCACGCCCCCTACTGTGGATTGGGCCCACAACCTGGGCATGTGCCCTGACCAGGAATCGAACCAACGACCTCTTAGTGCATGGGTCAATGTTCAACCACTGAGCCACGCCGGCCAGACTACATTGTTATTTTCATCCTGACCAAACCAATTCTATCTCTATTCCGTAATACCATAGATATAGTCACAGTATTGTATGTAATTAGGACATTACTGCCAATAGACAACGCTCACCTTGATTACAGAAGACCTACCTTTGTAGAAATATAATTTTTTCAGTGGTGATTTGGAAAGCCTAAGTCAATAAATAAAATGGTAACTATCTGTCTTCAAAAAAGTGGAGGAAATAAAAAAACGCATGTGTGTATATTTCTTTGTATTGGGGGTGTGTTTGTATGTATGATTTTGTGTCTATGTGTGTACCCTTTGAAAAATAAAATGTTAAAAACAAATGTCATCAATAACAACCAGCACATTATAAAGAATAAAAACAGGACTTCCGGTCAAGATGGCGGCGTAGGGAAACGCAGTATCGCGTTCTGCCACAACCACATCCAAGTTACAACAAAACTACAGAACAACCATCATCCAAAACCGCCTGAAATCAAGCTGAATGGAAGTCCTACAACTACGTAATTAAAAAAAAAAAAGCAGCTACATCCAGACCGGTAGGAGGGGCGGCGGCGCGAGGGGTGGCGGCGGCGGCGGCGGCGCGGAGGCGCGACGGGCTGGTCCCACACCCAAGTGTGGCGGATAAAAATCAGGAGGCTCCCGTGGCTGGGAAGGTCCTTCCTGAGGACTGAGGGGTCCCCGTCCCACACCAGGTGCCCCGCTCAGGTTTCCAGTGCCAGGAAGAGAAGTCCCCATAACTTCTGGCTGGAAAAACCAGCAGAAACTGAGGCTCAGGGAAGCTGACCTGGCTGGAGCCACAGGCAGCTCCCTAAAGGGCCCGCACATGGACTGGTCGGACTCTCTCCCTCTAAGCTCGGAGGGGAGGCAGCTCGAGGGGCACCAGAGACATACAGAAAAGAACTGAGCTGTTTGGCACTGGAGCGAGGGCTGGAGAGGGGGCTTTCTCGGGGACAAACGTGCTGTAAGAGGCCTTTGTTCCTTTGGTGAGCCCTTCCCTGGTTCGGCAGACAGAAGCCATATCTGGGACTCCAGCAACCTGGCTCACACTGGTAGCCCCGCCCTGCTGACTCCCTGAGGCCCCGCCCCACCCCGCCCCACACAACTTTCAAGCCCACCCAAGCTGTTGCTACTTGCTTAACCATAGGATTGGCCTGTCTTGGATCCTGCTTCAGGTTTTTCCTAAATTCTTTCAAACAAGCAGCATCGGGTCTCAGCGAGCCCCATACCTCTCATTAAGTAATACACAGAAACAAACACAGAGAGGCAGCCAAAATGAGGATACAAAGAAACAGGTCCCAAATGAAAGAACAGAACAAAACCCCAAGAAAAGAACTAAGCGAAATGGAGATAAGCAACCTAACAGATGCTGAGTTCAAAATACTGCTTATAAGGATGCTCAGTGAACTCAGTGAGGGCCTCAAGAGCATAAAAAAGTACCAGTCAGAAACGATCGCTGCACAGTTAGAAACGAAGGAGGCTTTAACTGAAATAAAGAATAATTTACATAGCTTCAATAATAGAGTACGTAAATCCAAGGAGCAAACCATCGATTTGGAATATAAGGAAGCAAAAAACGCCCAACCAGAACAGCAAAAAGAAAAAAGAATCCAAAAAAATGAGGATAGTGTAAGGAGCCTCTGGGACAACTTCAAGCGTGCCAACATTCGCATCTTGGGGGTGCCGGAAGGAGAAGAGAGAGAACAAGAAATCGAAAACCTGTTTGAAACAATAATGGCAGAAAACTTTCCTAACTTGGTGAAGGAAACAGACATACAAGTCCAGGAAGCACAGAGAGTCCCAAACAAGATGAACCCCAAGAGGCCCACACCAAGACACATCATCATCAAAATGCAAAAGGTTCAAGACAAAGAGAGAATCCTAAAAGCAGCAAGAGAAAGGCAGCTAGTTACCTACAAGGGAGTTCCCATTAGGCTGTCAGCTGATTTCTCAAAAGAAACTTTGCAGGCCAGAAGGGAGTGGCAAGAAATATTCAGAGTGATGAAAACCAAGAACCTACAACCAAAATTACTTTATCCTGCAAAGCTGTCATTTATAATCGATGGACATATAAAAACTTTCCCAGACAAGAAAAAGTTAAAGGAGTTCATCACTACCAAACCGTTATTATATGAAATGATGAAGGGTCTTTTTAAAGAAAAAGATAAAATGTTTGAACAAACAAAATGGCAATGAATACATATCTATCAACAATGGAATCTACAAACAAAATGAACAGGAAGAACAGAAACATTCTCATAGATACAGAGAACATTTTGTTGGTTGCCAGTTGGGAAAGGGGTTGGGGGAATGGATGAAAAAGGTGAAGGGATTAAGAAGCACAAATTCATTGCTAGACTGACAAACCTCAAAGGGAAAGGGGTTGGGGGGGTGGGAAGAAATAAACCAAAGAACTTATATGCATAACCAATGGACACAGACAATAGTTTGGGAAAAGGTGGGAGGGGGGCGGGAGTGGGGAGGAGGGGGTCAATGGGGGAAAAATGTGGAACATCTGTAATGCATTTTACATCCAACAATAAAGATGTGGAAAAAAAAAAAAAAAGAAAATGAAAAAAAAAAAGAATAAAAACAAGTTTAAACCATATAGCAGGATATAATACCATTTTCTTACTTAAGATGCAATATAACATATCCCATGAAAATAAGAGTAAGAACCAAATGCAACATTTTATTAAAAAACTAAAAATATTGTTTAAAAATTCACCTTCATTTGTATGCTTCTCTGAACACAGCTTAATCACCTTTAAATACTCAGAATTTGTGATTTTACCCCCTGCTCCACCAAAAAAAAAAACAACAATTTGCCATTTAGATTGGCAGACTCTTGTCAAGTTATTTTTATTCATCTCTTTGCTATAACTAATTCAAGAATGCAGTTAAACAGCAAAGATACTCCCCTAGAAAAGACTGAAGATCACTATCATAGTTATGGGGGGGGGGGGGGCTAAATCGAAGTTGGTGTTTCCCAACCAGAATGCTACTTCAAAAGTGAAGAGTTTACTTTACTCTGTAGTAGTACCAGCGACAGACATTACCTGGAGGCATTTCAATTCCTGCTTGCCTGTTTCGTGAAGACCCCTATGGCATCCTGCTTAACTGCTTGCCTTGCTGACTCCTAGTCTGCATTTATTCTTATTTCACATGCAGCAGGAAAGCTTGAAATCAAACACATAAGGAGGAATTTGAGATGTACTTGGGCTGCACTGAGATGTGTGGACATCAGGTCGCCCTGTGTCAGTACCTCACAGTGGGACTTCAGTGTTTTGTTCGAAATATATTTTCAACAATTTCGGTATTTGAAAGTATATCCATAAACATAGTCTAAAGCTAATATAGTGGTTTAGGACGATTCCTACTGATACCACCTGCAATCATTGTGAACAATAAAGTTACTACTTCTAAAATTGTCTTATACCAAAATACACAAATTTAAAATTATGTTAATATAACCAAAAGACTTTGTTGCATTTAACATCTGAGAGTTCATTACAAAATTCAGAAAGCATAGCAATCCAGGTAAATCAAGATACGTCCTCTGGTCTGAGCAATTAATAATAGAACATATGTATTTTTAAATTTTATCACCACTAATATAACTATGACTAGAATTGGGGCCCACAGAAGTTCTCAAATCATCCATTTCTAGATCCACTAGATACCTCTCTTCTACATTGTAGAATATAAATCATTAAAGTAAAACAATCCACTCATGTGTATTACATATCAACTAATTCCCTATAAAACAAAGTTGAATGTAAAGAGTCACCATACCTAATAACTTTATACTACACTCTTTTAGGTCATGGTGGGAAGTAATTTATCAGCAACCATAAAATCAGAGACGTTAGCAACAGTCTTATCAAAGACAGCTCACACTACATTTCATAAAACATCAAAAACAAGAAAAGTGGGACAGGGTGTGGAGAGTGGAAACTAGGATGCTTGATAACAAAAGAAACACTAAAATTTTTAAACATAAAAAGGAAGATGATAAAAGTACTCATTGAAAAAGTGATATTGAGCCCTGGCCGGTTTGGCTCAGCGGTTGGAGAGTCGGCCTGCAGACCAGAGAGTCCTGGGTTCGGTTCCCGCTAGGGGCATGTACCAAAAAAAAAAAGGTAATATTGAAACACCAATTAAGTAAGCATAAAGTCTCCCCATTTTCCTAAAACTTGCAAGGCCAACATACTGCTGTTCTAACAAGTTGTCACCCACAAACCCATTCTCTCAAAATCTTTGCCTCCACTCCTACTATTTTCAGCAATATTATTTTTAAGGATAGGGGCAAATATCAGTTCCTATCTCTTCTGGAAAAGATGTTCAAGTTAAAAAGGGATATTGAGTAGGCAGGCCTGTGGTCCTGACAGAAGTTTATTGAAATCCATAGCTTTCTACAAAAGTAAAAAATTTCTCATCATCAGCGTAAGAGGCAACCTGGAAAAAAAATTATCGACTGATCTATGAATGA